TTATTTTTTATTTTTTTTTTTCCGTTTTGTGGGTGTGGGTGTGTTGGACGTCTCAACTCGTAGACTTTTACGCAATACATTTTCTAATAGTAAAAATTTCATTTACAGGCAGAGCAGACAAAGAAGAGGCTTAAGCAGGTACCACTTCATCAGAAAACTGTGCATCATATATCACTTTCCCTGAGTAGTTCATTTCAGCTTCAAAGACATCATCTATGGTTAAATGCCAGGTAAAACTAATCTTTCTCTTGGTGAAGTTTTAATGAGTGCTGTTGTAAAGGGCTCTCTATGAAGTCTTAAGTATGAAATCATAATTGGACGAATAATTTATTTATTTATTTTTTTCGGATTTTTTATATGTGGTCAAAAAGAGGAAGATTACATTTTCTTGGGTCTTTAAAAAAGTTCTATGTTTTTAGATTTGCTTATGGACGGTCCAGTGCTGTTTTAATCAGTAGACAGCACTTAACATAATCATAAGCTATATTTAACCGAGCCACTATGGGTCTTCCTCGTTTACTTAATCCAAGAGATGAGGCTAACCACTATGTGACTGATATTTTTATCCTGGAAATAATATTAATTGTTGAGTAAATAGTTTATCCGTGTCTTTGGGTTGTGTTGATAGGTGAAAATTTTAGTTTCATCGTCGGAACATGCTGTATGGACTCTTTCTCCATCCCCATCCCCATCCCCATCCCCATCCCCCTAATCATTTCATTCATGATTTAATTTAATTATTAATTTTTACTTTCAACTTTTGGGGAATTATATGTCAAACCCAAAATGGTTACCTAGGAATGTACTTTAGGATTGTCCAGTTGGCTGCATTACTGAAGTTGTGATTATCTCATATGCCCGATTGACATCTGCAGCTAATGGAGAAGAGAAAACCACCACGCATGCGCAAGGTTCGATCCATAAACTGGTCAAACTTTGATGGAATAATGTATAATGTAGTTGAGAGCTGAAAATGCCTGTCTTTTAAACATAGGACTATGTTGCAGTTGAGCTGCATCTGGGCTTCGAAGTGCTTGCGTCGAGCAAATTTTCTCCAGCTCAGGCACAGCTTGTAGAGCTAAAGTCCTAGCTCGGGCTTGTTGGTTTACTTGACAGTATTAACGAGTTAGCTAAAGTCCTAGCTTGAATTTCATGATATGTTTTCAGCAATTCAGATTACGTTTTCCTTCCTTTTTTCATTTTCGTTTACAGGAGAAAATATCCCCAAAAAAAGTAAGTATGAAAAAAAAAAACTGTATTATTTACTTGACATAACAAAAATATATGGGAAAGTTCTTTAAAAATCTCTAAACCAATTTCTGACTTCCTCCTCAGTCCCCTTTCAAATTTTTTTCCTTCCAACTCCCTACCCCTCTAATCATTCTTCCACTTAACTCCCCATCTTTAAAATAAATAAAAAAACAAATGAAGTTATGACATCACTCCACTAACACTTAACATTATATATTATTTTATTAGTTTCTCTCTCCTTCCTACAATCTTTTTTAATTATTTATTATTTTTTTTCTCTCTTTCTAATATATTTGTTTATTATTTTCTTTTTATGATCTTCTATTATTATCTCTCATAATAATATTTTTCTTAATTTTTTATTAATTAATATAAATATATTTTTGTATAAAATAAAAAAAATATATTTTTTACTAATCTTTATTTCATTTCAATCTATATTATACTAAATCTATAAATCTATAATTTTTGTCATTCAAATTTATACTAAATCTATAAATCTATATTATACTAAATTATAAATTTCATACTTTATTGAAAAATATTTATTCAAAGATTGATCAAATTTTCAAGAGGAATATATATCAACTAGGACGATACCCGTGTACTACAAGTGTACGTAAATATATTAATATTTGTACAATAGAAAAACTAAAATAATTTATTTTTATGTTGTAAAATTATGTATAGTGAATATTTATAAAAAAAAAAGAATGAATAACTAACAAAGTAATAATTAATTCAAAATGGGGTCCTTATTTTTGCATCTAATTTTCTTATATAATTTTAAATCTATGCTAAAATGCATTAAAATGATTATTTTATGGTGTATTACTGAATTAGATTTTTATTATATTTTTCATAAAATAATTTATGTTGTCTTCATATTTTTCAAATTATTTTTTTTAATAAATATAGTTTTATTTATTTATAATGACATATGTAAATATTTTTTATTTTATATATGCAATATGGATGTCAAATCGAATATCCTTAAAATATAATTATTTTGAGATATAACTGTTGATACCTAATTTTGGCCTTGTCTATTAAGATATTACACGTGAATATGTATTAAATCAATTGTTATGTTTTATCTTATTGTTAAGGCTAAAAAACAACACCGCTTGTAATAATATTGGACCCATTAAATATACATATATATACCCCGATGATGGACATCATAAAGATAAGTCTGAGGGGCTTGATTTTTTTTTTTTCTTATCTAAAGGAGGCGGTGCCTTAGCGGGGGGTCTTTATGTCTCCCTAATTTTCCTCGCCTTCTTCATCAATCTCTCTAACAAACAATCACCAAAAAAATACACAGAAATCCTATATAAACACGATTTTTCCAAGAACTCAATGCCAAAAGTATTTTCGGTGTAGCGCCTCCGACGCTCAAGTCAGTATGAGAGAGATGAAGAAAGCTTTGCTCAGTGGGAGCAGCAGCCGTGAGAAATGAGTAGAGAGTGTGAAAGTTAGGGTTTTAGGTTAACTCATCTCCTCTGTATAGAATAAAATACCTACTTGAAGTACCAAAAATGCCCCGGTCGATATACATGAAGTGTCTAAAATATCCTGGTCGGTTCGCAATTGCAAATAAGCGCTCTTTTAAGTATTGGAAAAATGATCAGTAGAAGGTGATTGTTTGTTGTAGCGGTGAGGGTTGTGATCGGAAAAACGTACAGTCTGATGATTTCTCGGAGGGAGAAGATGAGTTGTTGCAAGATAAATCGATCTATTCTTGGAGATCTTGCATTAAAGAAGAGGTGCAGATATTCAGTGTCGCCGATGAATTTCGAAAGAGTGTCAAAAGCTATGCGATTGCAAACAAGCGGTCTTTTAATTATCGGAAAAATGACAAGCAAAAGGTCATCGTTTGTTGTAGCGATGCGAATTGTGAATGGAGAGTATATGCATCGTTATACAAATGGGATCACCAGTTTGCCATCCGAAAATGCAATCTCGTCCATACTTGTGTACTCATCTTCATTCCAAAGAGTGGGTAGTAAATGACACTTTATGAGTAATATTTTTTGTACAATATACTGACATTTCATGCTGCAATATAGGTAATAGTTTCGTGAAGTTTTAATCGGTGTATTACATTTTTAATTTAGAAAGTCGGTACTAATTAATCAATAACAGGTATTTTGTAGAAGGAAAAGCGGTATTATATCCGTAAAAACTGGTACCAGTCAATGAGTTGAAGTGTATTAAGTAGTGTTTTTCCATTAGTGTCTTGAGTCCATGACCAATTTTCCATTAAACTTAATTAACCAAATATCAAATGTCAAAGAAAAATTAATGTAAGAGTGATTATGGGTCGTATAAACATCATTTGCGACCGAAATTCGGTCTTTTTTTCTTAAATACAAGTGGTACTAGGGACATGATATCTGGTACTATCGCGCCATAAAGTGGTACTGCATTACACTATGACTAGTACTACTTTTTGTAAATGTTGAGCAGAATTGAAATAATCAATTTTTCGTCACAAAAGTTGGTACTAATCGATCAATAACAGATACTACGTAGAAGAAAAAGGAGGTAGTATTTCCGTATAAATTGGTACCATTCAATGAGTTGAAGTATATTAAGGTGTTTTTCCATTAGTGTGTTGAGTTCGTGACCAATTTGCGATTGAACTTAATTAACAAAATATCAAATCTTACATAAACTAATGTCAGAGTGATCATGAGTCGTATAAACATCATTTGCGATCGGAATTCGGTCTTCTTATGTGTTCATTACAAGTGGTACTAGGGCAAGATATCTGGTACTAACTCTCCATAATGTGGTACTGACTTACTCTATGACTGGTACTACTTTTGGTAAATGTTGAGCAGGATTGAAATAATCAATTTTTCTTAAAAAAAAGTAGGTACTATTCGATCGAAATCAGGTACCACGCAAAATAAGATGCGGTACCATATTTCCCAAAATGGGTACTATTATCAAGAACGCGATTTCTTTAATCCTTCATGTCTACCACGACACATGGATCGTTCACACGTGATTTGGATGAAAAAAATTGGAATTGAAAATATATAGATCGAATTTGAAGTAGTCATGTATGATGATTTCTATGAGATGAAGTGTGTCATGCAATGAAATGAAGTCTAGTAGTAATGCAAGTGTGAGCGTCCTGGTCCGGTTTGGAATGGATCGATCTTTGTCCTCGCCGGTAGAACGCCGGAAACCTGCAAGTAACTCTCACACCGGGGGTTGTATCTGGTGAAGAGCCTCCGATGCTTAAGTCAGTATGTGTATGAGTATACTGAAGTGAAGTATGAATAGAATGTGTTAAGGGAGAAAGGCTCACCCCCTTTATATAGGGGTGAGATACCTGCCCTAATAGCTGCCCCGATAAGATGAGCTACCTGCCCAAGCTGCCCGTCCGTACTCTGACACACCGCGCGCATGTCAGAGGTTGCGCGGGGGCGTTGGGGAGCTGTCAGAGGTGGTTATCGATATCCACCAATACATTCTCGACACGTGTCCCCCTGCAAATGGGGTAAATATTCTCCTGAGATTCGGTTGGAGGTTCCTGCACGTGCATGTGACTAGGCCGATTGTTGGGTCCTCGAAGTGATCGACCTGATGAGGTCGAATAGATTGCTCGATCGCTTATCTGGTCGAGCGATGGATTGGTCGACTACCTGCCTGGTCGACTATCTGAATGATCGATCCTCCCACTTCTTGGCTTGGCTTCTTCCTAGTTTTATCTTCTCGACCGGCTGAGTAAACCGGTTTATCCTTGTGTATATAATATCCCATATCAAGTAGTAGTATTTTCTCATTAGTGTATCGAGTTTATGACCAATTTGCGATTAAACTCAATAATAAAAACATTTAAAATCTTATATAAACTAATGTCAGAGTTATCATGGGTCGTATCAACATCATTTGCGACCGAAATTCGGTCTTCTTATGTGTTCATTACAAGTGGTACTAGGGACAGAATATTTGGTACTAACTCTCCATAATGTGGTACTGACTTACACTATGACTGGTACTACTTTTGGTAAATGTTGAGCAGAATTGAAATAATCAATTTTTCTTCAAAAAAGTAGGTACTATTAGATCGAAATCAGGTAACACGCAGAATAAGATGCGGTACCATATTTCCCAAAACCGGTACTATTATAAAAAATGCGATTTCTTTAATCCTTCATGTCTACCATGACATGTGGATTGTTCACACGTGATTTGGATGAAAAAAAGTGGAATTGAAAACATTAGATTGTATTTGAAGTAGTCATGTATGATTTCTATGAGATGAAGTGTGTCATTCAATGAAATGAAGTCTAGTAGTAGTGTTTTTTCATTAGTGTATCGAATTTACGACCAATTTGTGATTAAACTAAATCAAAAACATTTGAAATCTTATATAAACTAATGTCAGAGTGATCATGGGTCGTATAAGTATCATTTGCGACCGAAATTCGGTCTTCTTATGTGTTCATTACAAGTGGTTCTAACTCTCCATAATGTGGTACTGACTTACTCTATGACTGATACTACTTTTGGTAAATGTTGAGCAGAATTGAAATAATCAATTTTTCTTAAAAAAAAAAGTAGGTACTACTCGATCAAAATCAGGTACCACGCAGAATAAGATGCGGTACCATATTTCTCAAATCCGGTACTATTATAAAAAACGCGATTTCTTTAATCCTTCATGTCTACCATGACATGTGGATTGTTCACACGTGATTTGGATGAAAAAAAGTGGAATTGAAAACATATAGATAAAATTTGAAGTAGTCATGTATGATGATTTCTATGAGATGAAGTGTGTTATTCAATGAAATGAAGTCTAGTAGTAGTGTTTTC